TTTCATTATATATCACCTCTACATTCTCTATTTCAGCCATCACCAAAGGAACATTTGGATTGGTGGCATCCCCACCAAACTCCACAGAAAAACCTGTGCATGTGTTGCCTAATAAAGATGCCACTTTGTCCAGGACTTCGTCAGGTGGAAAGTAGTCATTCCCTCCTCCAGTCTGTAAAAAAAAGCAGTACTGAAAAATGTTATTTTAACTTACTACTTACTGTTGTGAATCATTAATCATAATCCCTAACTGACCTTATTACGGCTGATTCTCATGTTTGCGCAGCGTTTACGAGCGGCCTTCTTCAAGTTATCCCATTTTAAACGTAGCTGCGCTGGAGTTCTTTGGTAACTTGAAACTGACGAATTAAAATCAACAGCTAATGTTTGCCAAGCCTGGTCCTTGAGTTTGTTGTTAGTGGCATTTGTTGTTTTGTTATTTATAAATGCACTTGCCGCCACAAGCTGCACGAGGAGCATCGTCTCATCTTTTGTCATTGGCGCCGCTTTGCTTGACTGAAAAAAATAATCTTTAGAAGATTGAACGGATGGAATGTAAAAATTATCATCAATGTAAATACTTACAGGATTCATTTTTAATTAATTTTATGATATTTAACACAAGATACGCGCTCAAACAAACGTCAATTCCAATGTCTTCAATTCAATGCGATATGTCAAAACGTTTTATTTCATGATTCAATTTAGTAAACAAATGAAAAAAATCAAGTTAATGTTGATTCACCATAAAATGTATAAAATAATATACACAATAAGAACTTTTAATAAACATAAATAAATAGTTAATATTTGTTTTTAACATTAAACATTTGATTAGCAAAGCACTAAACGTTTCAAGAGGGAAAAAGCTATCCTTCGTTTGTGACAGATAGATAGCACTTATCCTCGATTGTGAAACGCAAGTCAGGGATAGATAAGATCAGGCTGCAAATCGAAGATAGCGATCTATCCTTAACTGGAGATAGGTTATTGAAAACGGCCGTTAGATGTTTATCTACTGACAGTATAGGGCAACTTTGCTCACGCCTAGTTGAACACACGCTAGTTAAACAGTCCAACCCAGTTTCAAGAAATGTAACTGCTTCTGTTTGATGATTTGTCGCTACAAGTCACTCAGACTTGTCAAACGTTCAGATTGCACATTGTGGAATACTTTTGCGATATCCTTAGTATTATTTGACAGCCCTGTTGATTTAATGAACCTGACTGCTAAGCCAGAGGTCGTGGGTTCGAGTCCCACTCAGGTCATATAATTGTGTGATGAGCGCGGTCATTTGTTCTGTGTCTGGGTGTTATATTATATATTAATATAATTATATATACGAGTAAGTCCACATCCGACAGAAAATAGATTGAATACTCGTAATAAGGGAAGAGGGAACAAGATCGTGAATCAGTAAATATCATTAGGATTCGAAGTTCATAAGTAATATTTAAGTACAATCATAATACACGATAACGAATTCGTGAAAATTCTCACGCGATTATTATTCAATCTATATTCAAACCATATCTTAGCCAATATTGATCAAAGTTATAAGTAACCGGAACAACGTTATTGTTTCTTATTTATCGATGTTTACAATTATTATGTACGCAACGGAACTTATCGTGCAATAACAGTAACGTTCGTATGTACACAAACTGCAGATATGCTCGACAGATATTCCTAATTATAATTGCACAGTAGAAGCATACTATTTGTCTTTGTCAGTGTGAATCATTTGTCTATTTATATCCTTATATAAATAGACGTAAATTGTATATTATCATCTTTCGCTGATAGTCCTCTAGATATTAACATACAATGCTTCCATGCTACCTATGCTAACATGCTTTGTCACAAATGGGCTGGCTCGACCGGATTAATACTACGGCCTCGGAAAAACACCGGTGTTAGTAATACTTTCGTATTTTTTTCACCGAGAAAGTGAGGTTAGCGAATCCAAATTTCCCTTGATTCTGGGTTATCAAAGCGCGGATTTGTCCATGGGTGGCAATAGTCACTTACCATGAAGGGGTTAGAAGAATATATTGTTAATCATCTTAACGTTATAAAATAAATTTGGAAGGTGATATACCGACGTCACTGTCTACCTCGTTATTGTCTTGCTTCGTAAATACCTTCTAGTACTTAGTCTAGTACTTAACAACTGACATACTGGCGCACACATCAAAACAATGTTGTGCTATATTTAATGATGTGACTGTATTTAGCTGTAATTGAAAAAGAATGGCTGTGAGTTTGTTTTCCCTTTCTCCTCATAAGGCTCAACTCCTTGGAAACGGGCTGATGTAGATCGGCACAGACATATAATGGATTAACTTCATTTTTCTGAACATTTGACAAAACAGATTATTGATATTATGTATGTTGATCAATGACTTTAGAGTCTAAGACGATTTCAAACAATTTTTAAAAGAATTTTATAAAAGAAAGACATTTTGAGTTTTAATCAAACACCTCTAACGATCCCATTCGAACAAAAACCACGAATTAAAAACATGTTAAAGAATAACTTATTGTTACCTGATTTTTGATGTCTCAACTGTTACAAAATCAATTGTAATTGAACGTGACAGAAGGGAAAAAAACAGATTTGTGTAACATCCCTTAAGACACACCGTAGGTTATTGTTTAACAACGTGACCTCGTTGAGTTTCGGTTAAGATATAGAGTTCATCGTGACTTTAACTATCTACCTTATAGTCACCTTTCGTTCTATCTGTCGCTCTAGTTTCCTATGTTAGATTAACTTTGTAATTAAACTAATCGTTTTATTTTCTTTTGTTTTAGATTATGTTCCGAGGCGGCGTCGTGGGCGAGCTGGATGCACGCCGCGACGCTGCGCTTGCGCGCGTTTTGGTACGCTTACAAGCGCGTGCGCGGGGCTTGCTGGCGCGACGTCGCGCTCAGCGCCTCCGCACGCAGCACACCGCCGCGCGTTGCGTACAACGCAACGTGCGCGCCTTCCTCGCTGTACGGGACTGGCCGTGGTGGAGACTGTTGGTCAGAGTCACTCCACTCTTGGCTGTCCATCGCACGGAGCATCGACTCAAACAGGCACAGGTTTGTACCTATTATTAAGTAATCTTCATAATTAGTACATAGTATTCGTTACAATACTTAGTGTATTACTGCAAGAGTACATTTTTTAGAGACCAATTATATTATAAACTTGTTAGTCTTGGGTCTAATTATGTCTACTACACTCTCTACACTCAAACACACATAAGAAAAAAAACGTTTTCGCGTTTCGAGTTTAATAAAAACACGCATAAAAAGTCGATATCGTTTCAGCGGTTTGGACACATCTTCGAGACACGAGTACAGAAGAACCATAAAGAAGGTTGATAATGTTATTGATAGATAAATACTTAAATCAGACATTAACAGATAGCCTCAATGATCTCTCATTCTCCGGTATATACGCATGGACAAATTATCTGTTCAAACAAATTAGGTTAACAGCTATCTTACGACAAGGGTTTCAATGATCATTTACTGCCTACCAGACGGATGAATGCCTTATCAATGCACTTGGACAATAAACTGATGCTCCAGAAACCACTTAGACTGTCAAAGGTTATCCTAAGCCCACACAATACGACATCTAAATAGATTTCCTGCTTGTAATCTCCTTGTATGAAATGTAGTTCATCGACTGCGCGAGAATAATGCTGTGATACAGTTAAAAGACAGAAGTCTAACTTGATATGAAAATGAATTCAGAAATATTTTTAGATCATCTACAACAATTTTTTCTATATTGTAGTAGTAGTCGTTGTAGTCCTAACAAATAAGGTTCATAAATAGGGTTCTCGGCGAAAGACCCGGGTCCCTAGCAATAGACCCACTTATAACGGAATCCCATCTAGTTTTAGTAGGTTCGGTATCCAGGTAATTAAACTTTGGGGTTGTCACTGGGAAAAAAAAGATGTATTGTATATACATAGGCATGTCATAAGAAATGCATCAATCAACTAAACCCAATAAACTAACGGAAATATTGATGATAAATACCATCACTGTCATTAAGACATCTATTTATTTATGGTTAAAAGAGAGAGAAAACGAAGGAAGAAGAGCAGAAAAGACAGACGTAAAGTTTACTTCTTAAAAAATCCGTTAAACCACTTTTAGTTCTCTTGTTTGTAAAAGGAATATCAGGAAGACCACTTCATCCTAAATTATATGATTATGTGTAATTTACATACATTGTAACAGAACAAAGCAATAGCTAAATAACTCTTAGAAGTGAGGATGTAATTAATTCGAGTATTTAAACAGAAAATGTAAATTTTTGTGTTCTCACGGCTGTGTTCAGGTAGTCGACCTGTCACAATTACACATTATCATTAAAATTATGTGTTTTCAAATTCCATCTGAACTGATGGTTTTTGGTTTGATTACTTGTTAGTTTATCACGCCTATCTCTAGAACCATTCGGGTTCTCTTACTAATTAGTATAACTATTCTATTCGTACTAGATAGAGCACTTATTGATAAAAACAGTATAACATCACGCTATAACCCTTAGGTGATGAGCAGAGACCATAAATGCGGGTAAAACTGCGGAAAAAACATTTGGAAAATAAAGTTAACTGCTTTAGATATCAGATTAAATATATCAGAAAATATTATAAAAAATATAATATTTTCGGATAACTGACACACAACGCTATCTAGTTTCAAACTAAAGAGAGCTTGTACTATGAAACCTAGATTGACTGATAGAATACATTTTTTTTTGTAATTACATACATATTCTACATAGAAAACACCCCTTATGTTTTCTATATATCATATGTATTTGTGAGTATAATAAGTGTAGGCGACATTGTCCCAATGCTTAAACACAAACAACAAAATAAAATTTATTACATCTAAAGCACTTAAATTTGAAGGTGAGCGCGCACACTGCTTAAATTAGTTTTGTTAAACATAACTAAAAGACATAATAGAAATAAAAATTTAAAAATAACTGTAAGGATAACAGCGTTGATGCCATTAGCTTGGTAACTTCCCACGCTTCATACTGTTACATTATATAACAACAAAATATAAATAACAACAAAAGGCCGGCAATGCGCTTCTGACTCCTGAGTTGCAGGTATTCATGGGTGGCGGTAGTCGCTTTCCATCAGGTGACCCATCTGCTCGTTTGCCCTCTCTTCCATAAAAAAAAATCATGAATCCGTGAATGAATAAATGAGATATCATTTTGATATGAGTTTTTGAGTAAAAGGAGTGAAAAAGTACCTTTAGTTTATAATGTTTTTTTTTTAACTGCGCTACTTGATTATTATCGTCTTACCACATAACTGATATATTTCAGCACCACCCTAAGGTAGACTGGGAGAAAATGCCTATGGCATTAAGTCCGCCAATGTACAACTTGTGCATAAAGAATAAATAAAAAAAAATTAAATATATATATATATATATATATATGGAGGTACATTATCAATCCATGCTTTATATTATAAATGTGAAAGTAAGTTTGTTTGTTACGCTTTCACGCCTAAACCACACACACACACACAACCACACCGATGAAAATTCTGTCACCAATAGAAAGCTACACTATCAGCGAGTAAGATACGCTACGTTTTACTGCGATTACCGACATAAGCTACCGAGCTGCGGCCAAAAGCTAGTGTACTATAAAAGTAAAGTAAATTATTACACACATTCTGGTTACATTGGAGCAAGTGCTTTGTCTCAGATGCCTCCTGGACTCTAATACATTCTATGCACTTTCATAATCTGTTTAAGTCTCTGCCAGGATAGTATAAAAAACTAAACTTTCTCAGTATTAGCACCACTATTGCTTCTTGTTACAATTGACATCCGTCTCCAATCCGACACCAAATGCATGTGTTCTACATAACACTAAACACATTCTCGTGTCTTATTTCCTACGATTGACATAACACTACATGCAGATAAGGTTACTGTTAAAGATACAGTGGAATCCCACTGCTTCATTGCCGTTAGAAATTTTGATTCTCTGCCAAACAAAACAAAAGTCGACCATCCGACTTTTGATAAGACTGTTAAAAACTGAGGCCGACAGTCGACCGTAATTTATCAAATCATTGATAACAGCTGCGTCGAATGTTAGGAAGGCTGTTACTTTTTTTTGAGATTTAGTCCTAAGCTTGTCAGCTCCCACTAAACAAAAACAAAAGAACGTCACTTGGCTAGGTGGCTAATTGTACGTGAAAAAGGTGCTGAACTGTGTTGTCTTTACCTATTTAAATATAAAAGAGATTGCCAGGCGATGATTGTTTAATTTCATTGAACAGTGTAACTTGAACAGGCTAACTAATAGCTCTATGAAACCATTGTTAAAGAATTTATTATTTAATAATATTTTACAAGTAGTAAAAACAATAGTAGATACTGTTTTAAGTTTTAACTTTCTGCAGTCTTCTATATATATTTATACTACTTAGGAAACTTAAGAAATTAGGCTACTTAGGAAATTAATATATCTATGAGTCTCATACACCGATCACCACTTAATAGTTTTTTCAGGGATCTACTAAGAACTTAATTAAACAGTTTTTTAATAGTATAGTAGTTTAACAAACACACAAAAAGTAATACGTTCCTTTTCTTTTTTAACTTAGAGCGTTTTGATAACATTAAGTAAAATAAAATTATAATGTTAATTCAGTATATTTGTTGTTTCCGCATTCCTATCTTGATCATTATCACAAGAAAGTGGTTGTTTCATTAATAAGATGAGATCCAATCTACTGCTTGAACTTGTTCGAACACGGAAAGCATGTCTGATGAGTTAGCGCTGATGGAAGGCCTAGCCACATAATCAGTATACACATGTTTTCTTTGATTGATTACGCAACAAAAAGGTACCTGCCGGCATTCCTGCGAAACTTTCTTAACGCCGTCCCTAATAGCTAAAGGCCTAATAGCTAAACCACATTTGAATTTATTCGTTAAAATCATTTTCTCATGAATCATCATCTTTTTCTCATGAATTAAGAATATTATCAGACTTTCAATAAACTTACTTATATATCAGTCTATTTGGTTATCTAAAGGTTGCCTGTAAGAGATTGCTTTTTGACATTTGACATTTGTAAATGGTCATTAACTTGGAATACTATTGTATATATTATGTACTGAACTGGTGTACAATAAAGATTATTCTATTCTATCAAAGACGAGCTGATGTTCGCAACTTTGTGTGCGTCTCTCAAGAGGAATAAGTAATTTTTCACCCGTTTTTGTAATATTTTTCATTAATGCTCCTTTCCTATTGGTCGTCGAGAGATATTATATGCCCTTCCTCAATAAATGGGCTATTACAACACTAAAATAATCTTGAATTCGAACTAGTAGTTTCTGAGATAAGGCTCGTTCCTCGAAACAAACAAACAAACTCTTCAGTTTTTTAATATTACTATAAATGTCTAAGATGTAGAATTAAAATAAATTCAACGATACAATAAAATTGTTAGGTTAGTTTGTGTACGCTGCAAAAACTAAAAAAGTTCTGCACCGACTGAGCTTAAATTTTGATACGATATACAATCCGCCTTTGATATTGTTTTTATATATTTTTCGCGTTAGTTTTGTTCCTCGTTTCCCATCATCGTGGCAGGTATAACTAGTATGATATTTAAGTATCATAAAAATGAAAACATTAATTCGTCTTGTTTTAGTACGACCAAACACAGCAACCTGTATAATATACATACATATTAATATGTATTAACTTTACAAAAAAAAGTATACAAGTATTCTATCAGTCAATCTAGATTTCATAGTACAAGCTTTTCTTAGTTTGAAACTAGATGGCGTTGTGTGTTAGATGTCCAAAATATTATTAAATATATTATTTAATATCATCCCATCACTTCACTACTTATTTCACGCACCTTGATTTAAAATCTTTTCAGTAAAATCTGTAGTCACCTACATTTACTTCAGTATTTTATGGTGTTTTTCTCATATAATGAAATCATAACGCTATAAACAATTTTATTCATCAACATTAATATTCAAGTCATTAAACTTCCAATATTATGAATCAC